AAAAGCCCCAATTATACTTTCACGTTGGTGTGTTTTCCCTACTTTAGAGTTAATGGAACAAAACAGGCATCCCAACCTCTGAGATCTACACCAACTTGCTCAATTCTGTGAGGACGTGGCATATCCTTCAAGCTTTATTGGCACTTAGTAGAGTGAGGGTCTGTCTGCAAGGTCTGTACCAAACAATCTTTAATGGCTTTCAAGTTTCCTTCTGAAGCCAGATCTGCAGAGCGAAGGGGAGCAATTATCCAATCTGAGGCGCAGACACTCCAGATACCCACACCTGTGCTTCCCCAAGTGATGGATGCGGACAACACATACTGTACAAAGACACCAGCCAATTAGCAACACTCAGCTGCTCTACAGTAAGTCTGTGTGGCCTGGACTCAACACTTCAGCCAAGTAAAGAATGCTGACAAGTTATGGATTTGGTGACCAGTGCCAGCATCTACAGCTCCTCTAATCCCTGCCCTTCCCAGGAGTCATGACAAAACAAGGCTAAGGAAGGAATCCCAAGTTTCCACACCAAATCTGCCACTCAGCAGCCAGGGACTCCCTGTCTTTAACAAAGTTCACCAGCTGCCGTGCTTCCTCTGCTTGCTAAGGAGGCTGCATGTGATTTCTTAAGTCCCTTAACACCGTGGGAAATCATGGAACTGGCAATTAGGCCTAAAGGTGTTCTGCTACTCCCTAGACATATAACCTTAAATAAGTTCCCTAACCTGGCTGAACCTCCTTTTTCTTACACATGAAAGGGACCTAATAACACCTGCATCTTGCAGAACTGGTGTGAGGCGTCACAGGAGATAATGCGTTCAGTACAGTGTGTGACATATAGTGGAGATACAGAAACCCTCCAGGAGCAACAACAGTGGGACTCTTTCTGGAGCTCACTGCAAGGTTCGCCTAGAAAGCGAACAGTAGTATGGGAGGCGAGTGCAACGCCATCCCCCTACCCGCTCAGAAAAAGAGAGCAGGCCATCTATCACAGGGTATTCAGGAAAACGGGGACTGTGCCCTGAAGTTCCCAAAAAAACCCTTAGGAAGCTGACAAACATGTTAAATTTTACTAGTGAGCTTCAGTTTTAAGTGACTCAGGAGGAAGAAAACAGGTCCAAACTGGTTTTCAAAAGAAAATGGTGACCAGTTAAATTAACAGCAAAGACTCAGAAACAGAGCTTAAGACCTAGCATTTGGGGACAAGATTTCTTAAGATAAGCCCCATCCCTGAAACCTTGTTCATATGGATTGTAAACTTAACTACAGCATTAAATGCAGCCAATGGATGAATTTCCCTAAGCTTCTGTCTTTCCATTACTGAAGGGGGTTGGGGCTAGAGATCCTCTCAGGCCCTTGGCCCCTTCCCATTTAAATTCCTATCAATTACAAACATCCTTACCTGCAGATTTAGGGCAACCATCTGAGATTGGCAAGGTTGCTTCCAAGGGGCTGCAAAAACAGGTACTGGAATGACAACTGGATAAACACTCACTGAAGACGGAGTTAGAGGAATTGGAAAGGGACCCTGAAGCCCCATCACTCAGCTCATAAAAACCTACAAAGAAAAACACGATTTGGAATTAAGATCACTTCAAGCAATGTTACACATTCCTACTTGAAAGGGAACAGCCATGTAGGAAAGGTATTCTTGAGGGAGGCAACCGTGGCGCAGTGAATGGGTGTCCTGCTTTTACAGTTTGACTGCAAATCACCCTGTGAAAAGGCAAAGAGCTCATAGCTAGGCTTGTAAGTTACTCTGTCCCAACTTGACCTTGCTCCCTGTCCCCACCTTTATGGATGTGCAAGGAAAGGGACTAAGATCTGTCAAACCTCAACTTTATCATGAATATTTCAGAAGGAACAATTTTAAGAGAAAACAAATCTACTTAAGGAACCAAATGGTTTTCAAAGGGGAGGGGGGAGACCACTTTTGAAGTGGTCTCAGGAAGTGGAAGTGTGACTAATTTTCTAACCCAGTTCTTGACTTTCTCAAGTTTCAAAGGAGTACCAACCTTCCCAAAATCTGAATAAAAACTTTTATTTGTAAACTATGAAATAAAATTGAAAACAGACATCTTTCTTTGGGATTTCTGGGACCAGGGAGCCCCAAATTAATATAGTAAAAACCTGACTCAAAAATATTAAACACCCCACTCCCACCCCCCAACCCATTAACTGCGTAACTGCTCTGCTTAACTGCTCTGCAGCATTGTCAATTTGTCTTTTCCGGCTTGAAAGGGGTGGTCAATAACAAACCCATTAACTAGTGATTTAATGAAAAAGCCTGTGTGCACCTTGACTTTTCATTTCAGTTTCAAGAGGTCTCATAGTTACAAATAGGTGAAGGGCCAAACTTTTTAATGCTAAATCAATAACCATTATTTATGTACTCTGTCCCATTAGAAACATATTTATTAAGGGGGGGGGGGAACCCTACCCCTAAAGATTTTTGCAAATGAATGCTCTTCCCCCCAGATCAGAGACCACCTAGTAACATGATCTGATCTGAGTAAAGGTGAGGGAGGAGTCACTCAAGGTAGGATTAGCCAATGGTTGATTTTCTACCACAGTGTGTGTGTGTGTGTGTGTGTGTGTGTGTGTGTGTGTAAATCAGGTCAATCTCATATATAGTGTGTGTGTGAGTGTGTGTGTGTGTGTGTAAATCAGGTCAACCTCATTATTAAAAATATTCTAGTCTGGCTTTAGTCCCCTCACTCGCAAGTGAATGGCCGACTGCTTTTTTTATTCTCTCTGAGCACTGCAGGTCAGGGAATGTGACGGGAGCACGCGGGTGGGGGGCGGGGCAGCGGAAGTGCAGCCTTCTCAGTGCTGGCGCTTGCAATCTCACCTGAGCTAGGCCTGCTGTCCGTCTCCAGGTGCTCTTCAGATGTCTTCTCCACATCCAATCTCAGGTCGCTTATCTGCCTGTCGAGTTCTTGCAACTGGTTCAGCAAACCAGCATCTCTTCTCCTCAAACAATTCTAATTAGGAATTAACAGATAGGGAGAATGGACACACTTTGGTGACAAAGACCCAGAAAAATCTGCTCTATGTATTACATTATTCATCTGAAGAATTCACAAAATTATCCCAAACCAAAATGTTACTGGTTGAGGTTTTTAAAAGACACCTTTAAAAATGTCCTATTTTTAATTCTTTCTCATATCTTGTCATGATATAAAGTCTCCTCAATTTTTTTTAAGTTTCAAATAAAACATACAAGGGTGCTTCAGAAACTTTGTGGAAAAAATGGAATTGGGAAAATGGGGTGGGGAAGAGAAAATGGGGTGGGGAGAGGAGTGATAATGGCATTTTTCCATAAACTTCTTGTAAGCCTCCTTCTGCAGTTATTTTTTATAGACCGGGACAAGACAAGCCCATTGGGATTGTCTTAATTCTCTGGTGTCCAGCCAGTTTTTAAAAAACAATACCTCACAGTCCACTCTTCAAATTGAAGGTAGAGTAACAGGTTTCCGACAATACACTCTAATCTTACTTAGGTGAGATTTTTTCTGGCCAAATGTCTCAGCCTGCAGTTTGTTTTCTATTAGTTGCTTTGTGAGGTTTAATCGGTCTTAGGGCCTTTGAAAGTTAGAAGCTAGTACTAATAGCCAGTGCCAAGTCTAATGGGAGCTGGCAGAATCCAAAACCCTCCAGGGAAGGCCCATCAAGATTTGAACTCAGCTCGGGTTTCCAAAGGTGACAGATCTGTTGTACTAACTCACACCGCCACCTAGTGTTTCCTACAGCTGGTACAGCAAAGGAACGCAAAAAGCATCTGGTTCACATCACAGATGCCAAGTCTACAAAAGAAACTAGTGCCACAAATACTAGCTGGCCTGGAATTCTCTTGACACACCACTTTGCTCCCCTTGAGCAGACAATAGGAACGCGCCACTCTCAATCTTAGAGTTGGGAGCGAGAGAAAGGTGCTATTGCCCAAGACAATGCTTAAACGTGAACGGCCAGGTATAACCAGAGAGACGTCTCAAATGGATATTACCCTTAAACCTGGTCGACTACCAAAGAGGTCCGAAGAGCGGTAGAGGTATTATCACAAAACAGATGCAGATGAATTATCTACTACTTCTGTCTGTGCTCTTGACAGCAAAGGCTGGGAGACAGAAACCATATGCTCATCTGCTACAATGAGTTTCTTCAGAAAAATGAACCAAACAAATAAAAAGCACTCTGATGCTCAAAAAAAGAAAGAAAGAAAGACCGTCTCCGGGAAAATGCATTTATATTGCAAAAAATACATCACAGACCACGGCCCAGGTCACCCCTTCCTTGTAAGAGGATCATTCTCAAGCGTGTGCCCAGTCTCTGGAAGCACCTCATGGGTAAGCGAGGGTGTTTCTTTACGTAGGGAAGGGGGTGGGAGGGCTATTTTTCAAAACTACATTTTAAGGTCACTGGAACAAAGCTGCCGCCATTATTCCAAGGCGGGGTCAAAAGCTGTTCATCAATACATTAGACGCCAAAGTTCTTTTGCTTCCCCGTTAATGAAGACGGCAGAGGGCTACGGAGACGCTGACAGAAATCCAATAAGATAAATGCTCCCAGGGAGCAGGTTTGCTCCGCCGCCGCCTCCCCCACCAATCCCGGGGATCACCCGGGCGGAGGGGGCACTCCCCCCACGCCAATTCCCAGCGCTCGCGCCGAGCCGGGTTCCCTGCTACAAAGGGCTCCCATCAAACGCAGCCCCCGCCAGCGCGCAAGCTGGCACGCCGGGCAGAGCCCTGCGAGGGGCACTGCCGCCTGCCTGCGGGCGCTTCAAAACTCCGCGCTGGACGGGGAGCCCCGCCGCAAAGCCCCCTCCTGGGCTTTTGTCCCCTGTCGGCGGGAGGAATAGAAGGAGGAGTAGGAGTAGAATGCCCTCAAATGAAATGGCATTTCAAGTGACGGTTGGCGAGAACCTGCAGGCACGGGGCAGGTATTCGCCTAACTAGGGGGAAAAGCGAAGGCTACCAACAGGCGCCCCCAAGAAATCCCCAAGACCGGAAGGCGGAGGGTCACCCTCGCCCCGCCATCGGCGCGGGGTGGCCGACGCCTCACCTGCTCAGACACAAAAGCGGACACGCGTGGGCGTGGGCAGCCCACGCGCCATGGGCCACTCTGGCGCCACCCGGGTCGGAGGGGTCCCCTGCGGGCATGTCCTCCGCCACAGGCAGCCTCGCGCCCACCCGCGGCCCTTGCCCGGACCCCCAGCCCCGCCGCGGGGCCCGCCCTGCCCCACCAGCGGGCACGACCTACCAACTGTTTCCGCAGCAGCAAAATGTTCTCCTCCAAGAACTTCTCCTCCAGGCGGCTGCGCTGCGCCGCCTCTG